TGAGCATGCGCTTGAAAAAAATTAATTTTATTTTTCACACATGAAAATACACTGTATTAACACGGGGAACAAATAAAAATGACAACAATGGTATGGTGCACCTCTTTCAAACAAGAATGGCAGTTGCAAGAAAGTTCTTGACACTGAAGAGAATTACAGCCTCAAAAATGTGTCACTCTTGGCTTTCTACTATAGAAATTGGTCTGGTCGTTAAGTGACCAGTAGAACCCAACTGATGGTATTTTCATATTGATAAGAAAGAAAATAAGCCTTTTTGAAGGCATATTCCTTCACTGCTACCGTTACAACATTACAAGGCATAACACATATTAAAAGTATAAAAAAAGATCAACATAATAAAAAAGAAGCAGTCAAATTGGCTATATATTGAGCTTATTTTGACCAAAGAGGTGCAAAGTGTACTATTAAATCTGGACGGAGGTAGTAAAAGAAAAGGCCTGCCAAATTTAAGACTGAATAAAAAAATAAGCTACTAGTAATAGACAAGAAATGCCCCTTTTTTATCACCCCCATTATGGCGCTGGTGCCATAAAGACAACAATTATGTCCAGTCCCTCCCTCTTTCTTGCTACTCTGCATGTATAACATTTGAAACTAAGAGAGGCACAACAGGCACAACTGAAGTTCTTCTTGGCACAGGCATGGGCCGGGCCTTGAGACAAGAGATATACCTCACGCAATATTTATTCCAACAAAGATGATGGCTGGCAATGCATCTGGTGATGGACAAGCAAAAGTAGTTGGATTGGGCCATAATGTCCCTAGTACTGCAAAGTACTTGGAAAAGGAGCTTGTCTCATTGATGACCTTCATCAAGGAGATCCTACTAGTACTAGTACCCATTGGTAAAGGTAACTGGGTCATGGTGGTTCATAGACATGGATAGAGCTATTCCTATGGTGCAACCAAGAATTCCATTAGGAACAAATTCAATTGCTTGAGGACACAGAGGCCACCTACTGGAAATCCATTGTCCCATAGTCTGTCCAGTTTGCAAGAGAGGCCCACCACTGCTTTTTTGGTATCAAGGCAAACTTGGAGCTGGAGAGGAAACTTTTGATCCACCGCAGAAAAGTTGAAGTCTTGGAGGAGTGGGGATCTTCATCTTCAAAACCGACTAATAGCACAGAGTCAAGAAGTATGTTAGAGTCTTCCAACAATGATGGGAAGGAACCTGCTGTGGAGGAACCAATTGTGACCACTGTGGTCACTCCAGCAAAAAAATGTATGGAAAGCTGAAGAAGGAAATTGCTGAACATGGGGATGATGCCATTCTGCAACAGTATCTCTTGAAGCAGGACAAGAGAGATGCAGGCTGAAAGAGACAAAAAGGCTGGTGAGAGGGCTGCTGAGTGAAACAATCAATGGATTACCTTGGCTCAAACATTTGTGTCAACAAAGGTAATCTTACAGGTGTGTCAAATAATAACAAAAGGCGCCAACGTGTTTACAATTTACGATGTTCAATTAATTGTAGTAATAAATGATTTAATCATCCCAATTAATATGAATCCTAGTAGCAATTTACCCCCCCCCC